GGCAGTCAGCTATCGTGTCCATGCTAGACTGGTATGATCTGGATGAGGAACTGATTTTAGTTATGGAGAGACCCATGCCTGCTGAGGACCTCTTTTACTACATTCAAAAACACAAGGGTCACATAACGATGAAGAATGCCAAGATCATGATAAAACAGCTGCTAAAAGCATTAATTCACCTTCAGGAGGCAAACATCTTCCACAGAGACATTAAACCTGAGAACATCCTGATAGAGACCAAGTCAAAAGTCCCAAAACTTTATCTTATAGACTTTGGTCTAAGTTGCTTTGATGACCAAAAACAATATGATTATTTCTACGGTACTCCGATCCATATCCCACCAGAATTCAAAAAACAAGGGTTCCTCAGTTCTGGACCAACAAATGTGTGGCAGGTGGGCGTAGTCCTGTACTCCATTCTGCACAAAAAACAGTTCTTTACTAAAAGATTCCTGTCAAATAAGCTAAAGATCAACAAAAGGCTATCCAAGAAATGCACAGATTTTCTAACAAAGTGCCTGACAGTAGACCCAAAAGAACGCCCCACCCTAGAAGAGCTGTTACACCACCGGTGGTTGTACACAATATAGATACACAATAAGATACACAAATATAACCAGAAAACAGCGGCACACTTCATAAGAAAAGTTTTACAATGCAGGAATTTCACAATAATTAGAGGTTGATTTGTCCAGCTGTCCTAAATTTCCCTCTTAGTGCAGGAACTTAATTCAGTTTGATATTCCTGCCTTTTATCCAGGTGCACTGGTTCCCCCTTATTGCAGAAACATCCTTTAGTGTAATTGCAGTTTTTTGGGTTTTCTCTGGGTGCTCCAGTTTCCCCGTACAAAAAAAAAAATCTTCCCTTTTGATTTAATTTAAATTTAGTTCAATGTTAACTTTGTGTATTTCCATTTGGTGCTCTGGTTTCCCAATGTAATCCAGAAAATGTCTATAACTTGATTAGAGATGTATTCCCTTCTTGGGGGGTACTTCCCTCTCATCCTAGAAATGCTGGGAGCTTAAACTGAGATCTGTGGCTTTTTACCAACTGCTCTAGTTTTGCCATATTACAGAACCTTCCCTTAGTTAGACTACGGTAAAAGACATGAGAAAATATAAAAAAAAAAAAAAAATCTANCCTTCTTGGGGGGTACTTCCCTCTCATCCTAGAAATGCTGGGAGCTTAAACTGAGATCTGTGGCTTTTTACCAACTGCTCTAGTTTTGCCATATTACAGAACCTTCCCTTAGTTAGACTACGATAAAAGACATGAGAAAATATATAAAAAATAAAAAAAAATCTAGATGTATACCTACCAGGGCACTTGATATTTTCCTAATCCAAAAACTTGAAAGTGGATTTATTTTTTAATCTACCTGTTTTATTTAGTTTTTGTTACCAAGTATAACAGCATATTAAGAAAAACTGTTTTTTTACATCTTGTCTTGAAACTTCTTGTTACTACCTTGGCTTTCTAATCCAGTTAACCTGTTTTTTTATAACCATTAGAAGATAATATGCCATGGACTTGTTTCTTCCGCTCCATTTATTTATTAACCTGACCAATGTGTGAAAAACGTGTTAAAATAGGGTTCTCTGTGATTATTAGGCTAATAAAAGTGACCACCCTCTTACCCTGGGATTTTTTTCCTCTCTCTCTACAAAAAAACAGTTAACATTTTAAGGCCCTATGGAGTTTTGTGAGGAGCCACATCTTTTAACCAAGTTACAGCTTCATAAAAGTCACAAGCTTCATGAAAACTGACTCTTTTAACTCAGCATACATGATTTTAGTCATCATGTCTTTGAAAAGTGCTGGTAAATGTAAATCATAAAGTCAGAGGAGCATGAACACTTTTAAAAATACATGTTGGGCCATTTTAACTTCTTATTTTTTGATGGGGCATCATTTTGCCCCCGAATGTCCAGGCTGACCCTTTTCTACATGTTAGACCTCTCAGAAAGAATGAGCTAGAAGACATTTAGAAATGATTGCTTCTGCCTTAATGTGCAGTGTTTGGTTTGGATCAAGCCAAAAAAGATGAAAGAGCGCTGTTGGTCATTTAATGTAAAGAAGGCTGTACTAAGCGCTGTGCACTGAGGCGGGGTAAATTAGCCTTTAGGGATAGCATTAGCATTGCATACCAGCATGACTGCGGAAACTTCTTCAAGCTGTTGTTATTGGAGGGCAGCTATACTCCGTCCAGGTTTATTTAATGTGATCTCCACCACCTTACATGGTTGGACATACAGCTTATCTGCAGAAGAGTTTTTAAAAGTAAAAGTTTGCAAACATCCAGTTTCAATGTCTCCATTTCTTTTATGCCATTAAAAAATAATATACATAAATCTGATTGTTTAAATGATGCACAAAGTGCTGTTGCTTTGGGAGAAAAGGTAATGTAAAGCTACAGGCCAACTTTGTATAAGCATAAAACCTGAAACAGTCGGCAGAGATTTCACAGCGTGCATGCTTTGTACGTCGGAACGATCAATCCGCACTCAGTCCATTCAACTGGAGTTCACCCTGTGATCAAGAAGAAAATTCCTGCTGCTCTGAGCCGGCAGAAAGCAGGCACGCTCTGCTATGAGGAGACATGCTGGATGGGGGTTTTATTAAATGAAGTAAAATAAACAGAGGGAGTAGTTGCTACATATTTTTGCCAAAGCTGGAACCCACAAGAATTTCGAAGGAAAAGAATCCTCACAGCATGGTGCTTTTTTATTCTGACCTCAAACCCATTCTGAGCTTGTAGACTAAACAAAGTACCACTCACTAACCCATCATCCTCACATGAGTGCATTATGACAAATTCATCCAATAACTAAATAAGTGAATCAATGCAAATACTCCTGAAAATGATGATGTCAATTCTAAAGGACATTTAGGTAAAGCAAGCAGGAAATATAAAGTCTTCAGAGATTAATAGCCTTCAGGAGGTTTAGTGAAGCTTTAGTGAAGGAGAGTGTGAACACTTAAACAAGCATACTGATTGCAGATGTGTGTCAGATTAAGTTTTCAAATACCCACAATGACACACACAACCACACACACACACACACACACACACACACACACAGAAACGAATAGTTCATGAGAAATTCAAACTATTTCTGCTTTACTTTGTGAGTTGTTCTTCACATCTGTAGGACAGATGAGCACAAGGCATGACATGACCCACTGAAGAGAAATGTGCACAGAAATGTTTGATTTAGGGAGATGGAAAAAAACAACAACAGCACACTGTTTTAAGTATGAGAAGATGGTTCGGAGGCCCACAAAACTTTTCTAAGGGTAGAACAAGGGACATGGATGTATTGCTTGATAAAAACTAACGTAATTAGGTATATATACTTAATATATATATATATATATATATATATATATGTACTAGATTTCTCGATAAAATCGAACGTAGTTAGGTATATTTAGCTGGGCTTGCGAGGGTTGCATGTGCCTATCTCCAGCTGTCAAAGGGCAAGAGGTGGGGTACCCTTTGGAGGTCGCCTGTCCCCGGGCGGGGGATCGACCTTCTTGCTGCAATACATATGCATATATATATATATATATAAATATATATATATATCCCAGGGTGGTCACTTCACCAAAATTACTCCAGGAGCACAGTAAGGGCTAAACCAGGTGATCACAAAGAATCCAGAATTACATCTGAATCACTGCAGATGTCATTTTCCATAAAGTCAACAGGAAAAAAAAAAGTTTTGGAATAGCTGAGTCTACGTTTGACTATAGTGAAATAGAGTAGCATAGTCTTAAAATTACCCATTCCTGCTTTAAAACCTTTCGCTGTCCGTAAAAGCTTGATGACAGTTTCTGATGGTAGAGCTGGCAAAGCCTGTTATTGTGATAACCTTGTTTTCAAATGCTCTGTGCATTCAACCAAAAAGTAATGAATTTTTGTATTTAGAAAATTTATCTTCGTTTGATAAGAACATTTGATTGATGATGTGACACTTAAGAGTGTGACAAAAAGAGCAAAAACTGGAGAGCTGCAAGTTAGAAAACACCATGCAGCACTAATTATATGATAATGAAAACCTTGTGGTCTTAAATTCTATCACAAAACACTGTGAAAACATGATTTTACAATTTTAAAAGAAAATTATATTCTATGTTTAGACATTCAAAAAAATCATATCTCAAGTCTAGAGTGAGAATTAGTTTTGGTCTCCATTGTATTCTCTTGAGCCAGCTGATAAAAATGTTATTAAAATGAAGTCTAACCAAAGCCTTTGGCACATGCAGAGGGAGCTACGTCAGTGAAAGTACAAATTACTGTTGGATATAATATTGCATAAAGCCTTGACTTTGTAGGAGAGATGAATATGATGTAATCCCTTCACAGTAAACAAACCAAAGAGCATAAAAAAAGATCAGAATTGCTCTGGGATTATTAACACAAGGGCACGGAGATTTGCTCAGTTTTATACCTATGATTTCTAAGGCCCCAGGGCACAATTAGGGTGCATGATGATTGTAAGCATTATCCTTGAGATAATTGCTTTATGTTGCCATCTCCCAAAGTGGGGAAATGACAGACATACATATCAAAACAACAACAGCTAAGAAGGAGGCAATGTTCTTCCAAGTGACTTGTAGGTGCAGTCAGCGCCTTTAATCTTCTTGTATCCATGACAATAACAACAGCCTACACAAACTTACAGAAATAGATCCTCCTCTGTTTGGAGTATACAAACTACCCTGCAGACAGAAACACAGCCTGAAAGGAAGCAGCCAAGTATTATCCTGTTTTTGAGTTTGTTTTCCCTGAAGATTACCTACTAATCAAAAGATGCCACCGGATAAACGGAAAAGTACAAAATAATTTTGTTGTGGCAGTTTTTTTTTATATCGAAAGATTTCCAGCTTTTATTTTACACTATTTTGGTGATTATGTCCAAGAGGACATTGAAATAAAAAAGTTCTCAAAAAGTCAATAAGGCATAGGATTCAAATAGGATTAAGCTATTTTCAAAAGAGAAATGTTCTGTTGTGTCATGGGGGAATGGTGGCTGCTGACAGTCACCTACACCCTCCAAAACAACATAAAGTGTCAAAGCACCGATTGCTTACGATGCTGGCTGCTCACCAAATGATGTATGTAAGCATTTTTGTTGGGATCAGGAGCTGTACCACCTTCCTCCAGCAGAGTGCGCCGTGGGTCTCCTGGAGCTGGAGTTTTCCAGCACACCTGAGACGCATCTTCTCATCAGGAGACCTCTCCTTTATAACAAGCTGCCAGACCTTGCTTCGACGCCGCAGTGTTGACCTAGTTTGGAAACCTGTCTCTAGCCTGGAGCTCTGGATGAACTCTGCTGTACAAACAGTCTCTGGACCCAAAGGTTCCCTCTCTCGCAAAGAGAAGCCCGGATTCAGTCAAGGTATAATTCTGAATTATCAAAGACTCATACTCATCTGCCTGCCTCCTAATCAAACTATCATCTCTGCAGACTTCAGTGAACCAGCCCGGACAAGTTCCAGACCCAGTACATTATCTTGTGTTTGTGAAACATTTCAATAAACTCTGTTAAACTTTCACCCAGCCTCCGTTGTGTTCTGCGTGTGGG